TTTTTTCTACACTTTTAGGTGTATTTTGTGCAAGAAAATGCAATAAAATAGTCTGCCTAAGAAAAATTGAATTTTTTTGGGAACTTTTTTATGATTTTGGATTTTTGGGTGAAATGACTTTTTGGTGGTAATAGGTGTCTTCCTCTACTCGTATTTGGCTGTCATTTTTTTTCCACACTTTTAGGTGTATTTTGTGCAAGAAAATGCAATAAAATAGTCTGCCTAAGAAAAATTGAATTTTTTTGGGAACTGTTTTATGAATTTGGATTTCTGGGTTGGATGACTTTTTGGTGGTAATAGGTGTCTTCCTCTACTCGTTTTTGGCTGTCAATTTTTTTCTACACTTTTAGGTTTATTTTGTGCAAGAAAATGCAATAAAATAGTCTGCCTAAGAAAAATTGAATTTTATTGGGAACTTTTTTCTGATTTTGGATTTTTGGGTCAAATGACTTTTTGGTGGTAATAGGTGCCTTCCTCTACTCGTATTAGGCTGTCAATTTTTTTCTACACTTTTAGGAGTATTTTGTGCAAGAATTTGTATTAAAATCGTCTGCCTAAGAAAAATTGAATTTTTTTGGGGACTTTTTTATGATTTTGGATTTTTGGGTCAAATGAATTTTGGTGGTAATAGGTGTCTTCCTCTACTCGTATTTGGCTGTCAATTTTTTTCTACTTTTTTAGGTGTATTTTGTACAAGAAAATGCAATAAAATAGTCTGCCTAAGAAAAATTGAATTTTTTTGGGAACTTTTTTATGAATTTGGATTTCTGGGTTGGATGACTTTTTGGTGGTAATAGGTGTCTTCCTCTACTCGTATTTGGCTGTCATTTTTTTTCCACACGTTTAGGTGTATTTTGTGCAAGAAAATGCAATAAAATAGTCTGCCTAAGAAAAATTGAATTTTTTTGGGAACTTTTTTATGATTTTGGATTTTTGGGTCAAATGACTTTTTGGTGGTAATAGGTGTCTTCCTCTACTCGTTTTTGGCTGTCAATTTTTTTCTACACTTTTAGGTGTATTTTGTGCAAGAAAATGCAATAAAATCGTCTGCCTAAGAAAAATTGAATTTTTTTGGGAACTTTTTTATGAATTTGGATTTCTGGGTTGGATGACTTTTTGGTGGTAATAGGTGTCTTCCTCTACTCGTTTTTGGCTGTCAATTTTTTTCTACACTTTTAGGTGTATTTTGTGCAAGAAAATGCAATAAAATAGTCTGCCTAAGAAAAATTGAATTTTTTTGGGAACTTTTTTATGATTTTGGATTTTTGGGTCAAATGACTTTTTGGTGGTAATAGGTGTCTTCCTCTACTCGTATTTGGCTGTCAATTTTTTTCTACACTTTTAGGTTTATTTTGTGCAAGAAATTGCAATAAAATAGTCTGCCTAAGAAAAATTGAATTTTTTTGGGAACTGTTTTATGAATTTGGATTTCTGGGTTGGATGACTTTTTGGTGGTAATAGGTGTCTTCCTCTACTCGTTTTTGGCTGTCAATTTTTTTCTACACTTTTAGGTGTATTTTGTGCAAGAAAATGCAATAAAATAGTCTGCCTAAGAAAAATTGAATTTTTTTGGGAACTTTTTTATGATTTTGGATTTTTGGGTGAGATGACTTTTTGGTGGTAATAGGTGTCTTCCTATAATCGTATTTGGCTGTGAATTTTTTTCTACACTTTTAGGAGTGTTTTGTGCAAGAAATTGAAATAAAATCGTCTGCCTCCTAAGAAAAATTAAATTTTTTTCGAATTTTTTTATGATAAGGGTAGCCTTAAGGGTGGTAATATGTGTTTTCCTCTACTTGGATTTGGTTGTCGATTTTTTTCTACACTTTTAGTTGTATTTTGTGCGAAAATTTGCAATGAAATGGTGTGTGTAATGAAATTTTTATTTTTTTAGAAAAATGACAATGTAGGGGATTGTATACTAGGGGTGTTTTTTTAATTAATTTGGGGTTGAACTTTTTTTTTTTGTTAAGTATAATGTTTTTTTGAAGTTTTTTGTAACTAACAACTTTGAGAAATGTCTATGTGGTATTTTACGTAGCCACGTTATACCTTTGCATGTGTGAAAATCCACTGGCATGAGTGGTTCCTAAATGTTAATCACTGTACATGCACTAGTGCTGCCATCTCTTCGTGAATACGATATGCGTGCGTTATAACACACATTGGTGCGTAACGTGTGTCGCACGATTTTTATCTGAGTTGAATCAAAGAAAATTTATGTTTAATAGTGTCGAACAGTCTCTGAAATTTTTTCGAAAGGAGATTCTTTTAATTATCGCCCTATAAAAACGGAACTGAACGTAAAAATTAACATTGATTTTATAAAATACTTTTTCTTCGAAACACTGACACTTTTTAGAAAATTGGCTAAAATACCAAGGATTCTTATCTTATAAATGTCCTAAATCAGAAAGATTGTGCGAAAATAAACTTAAACTATAGCTCACCTGAAAAAAAAATAGTTTAGGTTTTCCAGCGAGGGAAATACATTTATCAGCTGTAAATGGCTTCCAAATATTGTCTGAACTATAGGCAACGTCCTTGGCGCATATAAGATCATTGGTTAATCCATGTGTTAAAACAAAGATGCAAATACAATCATTGTCACTGTGGTCTTCATTTTGAACTAATATTATAAAATTTATTTATTAATAATGGGTTAAAAATATATTATAAGCAATAATTTATAGAAACAAAAGATCAATGTTTGGAGAGCATGATTATCCCAGAAAAGTCATTACATAGAATTTTGATTTTTAAGAATTTTATTAGGTACAGAATTTTGTACATACATATAACCTGAAAGTTAATGATCAACCTACAAAAGTTTTGACTGACGTTTAGTAAACAATAATTTAACCAACTTTATTTTGCATTTTTTTTTTCGTTTAAAGCATCGACACATGGTACAGTATCTCGAAAAATGGAGCTGAGATAAAATATGGAACCAGATATCGATGATTTGCTTTTAAAAAATATAAAAAATTTATTTTAACAAATATATTTATATAAAAAATTAATACATTATAATGCCATAATAATAATTTAAAAAAAAAGTAATTAGAAATATATTTAATTTTTTTTTAAATCCAACTCCCGTCAACTTGAATAGTATTAAGAAAATGACGAATCGAATAAATTTGACAGCAGTAAATTATAATTATAAGAGAATAATTATTTTAGTGCCAACGATATAAACGAAAACTAAAATATCTTTTCTTAAGTGGCTACCTAGATTTAGTAAAATATAGTATTGTAATTTTTAGATTTAGGAGTACTTTTGTACGAAAGGGCATGTCCCGTTATGTTCCAAATAAATAAATAAATAAATAAAATTTGATGCGGTAAATATGTCATTGGAAATACAGGATTAATTTACAAATGATTTTTGTTTTTAAATTTTCTACAATACTCTATTTATCTGAAAGTTACCATTGGTAACTGGTACACTTACCCTACTTATAGAAATTAAGTAAAAAAATCGTTATTAAAAAGAAATTTTGTCAAAAAATAATTCGAAAAATGAAAATTCGATAATTTAAAATTCTTTGAATTGAAAATTCTAACTTTTGACTTTTATGGGATATGCCCACTTTCAATGCTCTACACTTATACAAATTTAAAAAATATTACATTCATTTCATATATCAAATAATGAAGTGATACCTACGTTTTTCAATTTTTCCAATGATTTCATTATGCTTTAAATTGTCAAGTAACTCAATAATAAAGCCGAGATTTTGAAAAGTCTTTTGAATTCTTTTTGCATCGTTTGTTGATCCTTCTCTCTTTTCAAATCCAGTGTCAAATATATCATGATTAAAAATTACACATTTCCCTCGATATTTATGATTCATATTGTAACAATGTGCATCCTTGGTTGTTGACATTTTTGCCAATGACACAGAACTGAAAAAATAAGACAAAACATTTTTTATTATATTAAATTAAAAAATTAATATTATTTTAAATAATAACACTATGTGATGTATAGTTGAAAATTTGATTAAATTTGGAATTAGTTTTGAGATGAAACCAAGTTTACTGTGTGCGTTAAACTTGGACATTTTCTTAATTCTGGTTTAAATTTTCTTTTTTTTATAAATGAAATTTATAATCAAAACTAGGAGGTTCGAGGCCTTATTTTGTAACTTCTTAAAATTTTTAAATTTTTTATTGAATTAAATTATTATTTTTTTTTTTAAATTGTCCATCATTATAAAATTTCATTTATAAAAGTGCAATAATGAAAAAAATAATTTTCTTCTTTACTTATATAATTTATATTCGTTATAATTATTTATTTATTTAATCTCACCTGCTTGCAGCTTCATTTCTATCATCTTCTTCTAAATTATTATTTGGAGTTGCATCTAGAACGTCAGATTTTCTTATTAGCCATTCGGGCATAAAAATATTAACAGATTCTGGTGTCATGATGCATCCCTGATCCGGTGATATCTGAAATAAAAAAAAAAAAATTTAATTTGATCATTATTTTAAAAATTATTATTTGTGTTTTTCTTTTTGTCATTATATAATAATAACAATAAAAAGAAAAAAATTTTTACCTCATCTAGCTTGGTTGCTTTGGATTGTTTGGACGTACGATAATCTCCTGATACTATTTCTCGATCTCCCATACTGTCAATAACGTCACTCACTCGGCGTACTCTTTTTTCACTTCTCAAATTTTTTTTCAATTCATCCTCCAAATCTTCGTAAATGTCCTGAAACAAAAATTTATATAACTTTATTACTTTTTTTAATTTAATAAACAAAATTTGATTTTCAATATTTATTTATTCGATATTTAAGGGGGAGGGACCGCTGAAATTTCAACCTTTCGAAATTAAGGTTGTTTAAAGTTGTCAATTTTTTTTCTGTTAATATTGAATATTTAAAACTGTAATATATACTATGAGAAATTGAAAAACAATTAATTTATTAATAATTTTTTAAATATTTTCAAAAATTTTAACTTCAATCACAATTTTCATTATTTTTTCGTGGCTGATTTCTTTATACACTTTTTTCATGACTCTGAACAATCAATATAGTATATGGATATTGAAAAATTTCAATTTTTTTTTTAAAATAAAATTTCTGAAAAATAAAAAAAAATTGTTAAAAAAATTCCTTTTTTTTATTTTTTCTAGAAAAATATGATTTCAGGTTCTAAAAAAATTTAAAAAAAAAATTTTTACCCCTAAACCAAATTAATTACGTTTAGTTAGAATTTTATCAATTATTCCATAAAAATTCAACTTATTCTACAATTTTTATTTTTTTTATCGTTAATTTTTTTATAGGCTTTTTTCATAATTCTGAAGAATTAATCGTATGGATTTTTTAAAATTTTAATATTTTCAAAAAATAAAATTTCTAAAATGGTCAAAAATTTTTAATTTTTTAATTTTGATAATTCACAATAATTTTATAGATGACAAATAATGACAGAAAAAAAATTGACACCCCTTAACAACATTAATTTCCATGCACCGTTCCTCCCATTAAAATTCAAAAATTGCGATTCCATAACGGCAGGTGCTTTTTTGTAAATAAAATTATTTTATTCTGTTTTAAACAATTAAAATTGCTTTTAGTATAATTAATATTCATTATATTAACTAATTACTTCATTTATAATAATAATAATAATAATAATAATAATAATAATTAAATTAAAAAATTATTATAAATTTTTCGAATGGGGAAAAAATATTTTTTTTTCAAAAAGAAACATTTAATAACAATAATAAATAATTATTTTGATTTTCGGCATTTTGGAACAGACAAAACATAGGTACAACTTTATTTTTTGAAGCTTCAAAATATATAATATATTTTGAATATTATATAATTTTAATAAAATATATATAATTATATATACTAGGGGGGCTGAGCCCCCCTGCGAGCTTCGCGCGCCAACCTCCTATTTTTTAATGGTTTTGTAGATGTTTGAGTTAATGTTTAGACAATTTCTGGAATTTAAAACTATTATTAATATTTTATTATTTATTTCTTCAAATGTCATTTACGATTTTTATTAACAATAATTTTTATTATTTTCAATTTTCAAAACAAAATTTATCTAATTTTTTAAATTTTCCCCAGCTAAAATTTGACCTACATTTAAGGTTATGTTTGTTTTTTTTGGTCATTTTCCTTCAAAATTTGACCTAAATTTTGTGGTTATGTTTGTTCCTTTGTCTTTTTGCGCCAAATTTTGGCCTAAATTTTGAGGTTATGTTTGTTTCTTGGTCGTTTCCCGACAAAAGAACTTAACCTTAAAATTTAGTTCAATTTCAGCCGAAAATCCACCTCGCTCCTTCAACGTAAGGAAGGAGGGGGGCCTTGCGACTATATTCACAATCTTGAAACGAACATAACCTTTAAATTCAGGTCATTTTTGGCAGGAAATCTACCTCCACTTGCGGCTATATTGAAAGTCTTAAAATGAACATAACCTCATAATTTACATATGTCATTTTTGACAGGAAATACGGAGAGAGATGAGAGAAGGGGGAACGACTTGCTGCTCTATTCAGAGTCTTGAAACAAACATAACCTCAGAATTTAGGTCACTTTTGGCGGGAAATACGGAGAGTGGGGAGGACATTCGACCCTATTCAATTTTGAAACGATCATAACCTCAAAATTTATGTCATTTTTGGCGTGAGACGGGGGACTTGTGGCTATATTGAAAGTCTTGAAATGAACATAACCACAACATTTATATGTCATTTTTGGTGTGAAATACTGAGAGTGGGTAAGGGAGGGGGGAGGACTTGCGGCCCTATTCAGAGTCTTGAAACGAACATAACTTTGAAATTTAGGTCATTTTTTGCCAGGGATAAATAACACCGATAAATATTAAATAATAATATTAATTTTTTATTAATATAATATAATATATGAATTTACTATTATTATAATGTTAGTAAAATAAAAATTAATTAATTCGAAATATTTTGTTTTTATTATTTTTAATTTGAATGATTATACGCAGCGCAATATACGCGCGTGACTATTTTGTATTATTTTTGAAAAATAAAGAAAATTATTATTTATTTAAAAAAATATTTCACATAACTTACATCATTTCTTTTTTGTTTCGACATTTTTCACAATTGTTATAAACGTTAAAAATGACAATTCACACACGATTTTTCTAATAAACGACGGGGCAAATGTTATAATTAAAATCATGATTATCGCGGCTGGACTGACACAAACTGACCACAAAACTTGTTTACAAAATTATTTCATATATGTTACCTATACACATTGGTCAAAACTCATGTATGTATATGTATTATTTAGACACCAAATCTATATTGCCATCTTCCATCTTTTTCTAATTATCATTTCAAGGTTATTGTCCCTTTCAAGAATAGAAAAATTACATTTTAATTTCATTTTTTTTTGTTTATTATTAAATTATTATTACTATTATTTTGATTATTATTGATTTTATTTTTTTCATTTTTTTTTTTTTAATTTAAGTATTTGTTTATCAAAAATTAGTTTTTCATAATAAAATAAGTTCTACGATTATTATCATATATATAGAAGCGAATAATTTGATTGTCAATGCGTGCGATGTCAAAAATTATAAGATTATGATAAAATCTTTGTTATCTGATTCTGTGATTCATTCAATTATGATTCTCCCTTTTTTTTGTGAAATCTCAGATTGTTCACAATTAATTGCAAAGAAAAAATAATTTATAAATGAATTTTTAATTTTTATTTAATAATATTGATTTAAATAAATAATAATTACTTAAAATTTTTAACTATCTATATAATTACGAAATATTAAGAAATATTAATACTAAATATTAATAAAATTTTTGTAATCGATTTTTTTTAATTTAAAAAAAAAATTGTAAACATTAAAAAATCGATATTCTAAATTTAAAAAAAATAATTTTAATTTCTATTTAAAAAATACTATATTTTATTGTTAAAATTAAAAATATCTATTCTCAAAATAAAAATCTTAATTTAATTATTTTTTTTTTTCGTTTTCTAAGAATATTTTTATTCCAATTGTTCTTTAAAAATAAAATACAAGAAATATTTCCTCTGATAAAAAAAAATTTTAAAAGAAGAAAATAAAAATATTGCACTTAAAAAGAATTCTCATTAATAAAAAATAAAAAATTATATTTATTAATATATTAAAAATGAAATAATAATTAAATATATTTATTAGTATTAAAAATTAAATAATATATATTACTTTGTTTTCATTGAAAAAAGTTGTATCTTCATATTTTGAAAATTTATCGTTGTTATTATTATTTTCAATAACATCACGTCTTTCGCATCTTCATATCACTTTTTTGTCATAAAAAATTTCTCATAAAAATATTTTTAAATTACTCATTAAAAATCGCAATATTTTTTTAATAACACTTTTCAATTTTAAAATTAAAGACCATTAAAAAAAAATGTATATAAATTATAAAAGAAAAAATAATTTTCACTTCATTTATTAATTTTTAACTATATAGAATACAATCTAAGTGGAGCAAAAATTCACTGACCGCAAAATGTCCAGTTCCTTATTTTTTTTTTTTTTATCAGAGACGTGAGACAAATTTTATCAGTGACCAATAAAAATTCTCACTTCGTTATCTTTCCCATTGTCATATAATTTTATAAATAAACGTCATACTAAATCTGTAACCAAAAATTTAATCTCCGTGGTATAAATATAATATTTAATTTTTACAATTCATATATTTGCATATTTAATAATTTCTAAAAATTTTGTAATTTTTTTTTTATATTTTTACCTATTTTATTCAATATTATTCTTAATTATTGTAATTAATTTTTCAAAATTTGAAATATTATAAAATATTTATTATTATTATTTTTTGTTATTTTATATTTTATTATTTTTATAAAATAATGTTTGTTTCGTATAATGTTTATTTAATATGATATTTACTCTAAATTTGAATTAGTTAAAAATAACTAAAATTCATTTTAGGTTATGTCGAAATAACTAAAATTTCTGGTAGCTAATTCAATTTCAAATATTCTAATTTAAATATATTTTTTCAGTTTTTTTTCCACTGGAAATTAGTTTTTACTACTTTAGTTTTTTTTCTACTAATCGCTGAATCAAAAAGTCCTATAGCAATTAGTTATTTCTAACTAATTCAGATTTAGAATTAATTTTTAAATTATAAACAATTCAAATTTTTATTTGTGCCATAAATTTAAAAAAGAATTTATTAAAAACGAATAACTTTTTCAAAAAAAAAATAATCCATTTGATTAAAATTTCATATAACGATAAATAAAATTTACAAAAATTACAATTACAAATTTATTTATGTAAAATAAATATTATCCTAGTTGAAATTTCGCGCAATAATATGTAAATATTTAAAATTAGAGGAACAACAAATGAAAGAAAGGAACGTGTTTGGACACGAAAGGAACGAAACGGAATTGAAATGGAAAAACAAAGATGGCCACTTTTGCAATCGATGGAAGTGCCATCTGACGTGGCAGTAAACAAAAATTCTCATTTCAGCGGTGAAAGAAAACATTTTAACATCTCTCTCTATAAAAAAAAAAAAAATTATTTCTAACAAGAACATCAATTAAATTATCGTTTTTGTCTTTATTTTTATTATATTTTAAATCGTCCACGTGTTAATCAGTGATATTGATGGGAGTCCCGTCTTCCGCTGTCTTTTTTTGTGAAATAGTGTATTTTTATATATATAAATAAGGAGAAAAAAAAGTGTCCACAGTGGCAAAATCACGTCTCGGATAAATATTGAAATTCATATATAATCGAAACGTTATAAATATCTGTTTCAATTATTAGATAAAAAGAAAAATATGCAACAAATTTATTTTTTCCTTGGAATCCTGGCCGTTGGCCTTCTTCCATTCATTTGTGCTGATGAGCACAACCACATTGTGAGTTTATTGTATTATTCTATTATATTTGTTAATTTTCTTTTCGTATTTTTTTATCTTTCTTTTTTTACACTAGTTTTGCAAAAATTTGAAAACAAAAAACCTTATCAAGATCATTTACATTGAATTCAATGAATTAGTCATAGAATTTTTTTTTTCGTCTATTTAACCATACCAGCTGGAAATTAATTTTTTTTTTTGGTCAATTAGAATTTTCAATTTTTTATCACACTATAATGGAGTCATTAATAGCTTTTTTAAATTACATTTTTTGTTTATAAATAGAAATTTGATTGTGAAATATTGCTTCTTTCGGCGATATCAGTTTATTACTTTTTTTTTTTTTAATGTATTTTTACAGTTTGTTTCTTTATTTATCATACACATGTACTAGCAAAAAATGTTTTTACAATTTTACTGACAAAAAGAATTGTTTAATGATATAATATAATAATAATAATAATAACAATTTTATTCTTAAATTATATATTAACTTAAATATTATAATAATTTCAAAATTCAATTTTGTTCATATAGAAAAAATAATCGTAAAAAAAAATTGTTCTATTTATTATTTTATCAACAATGCTATATTGGAGATAATTTAAGGAATATTGAAATGATTAGATTGTGGGCCGCAGCTATTTTTCTAGAACTTACATTTATAATTTGAAAAAAAAATAATCTAAATTTTTTCGAATAAATAAGAAAAAAAAATAAAGAAAAAGTAATAATTATTATAGAAAAAAAAAAAAAATAACAATACATTCTAAAAATATTAGCTGACACTAATTTTTTTCGAAATCAAATATAATTTTTTTTTTTTTTTTTTTTTTTTTTCAGTAAAACCATATATTTAAACTATAATCAATATTTACAAACATACATTTTTTTACTTTGATTAATCAAAAGATATTTAAATAAGTTACATTATACATTCCATGTTTAATAATAAAAGCACAAGAAGTCTTATTGGAAATCAATGAATTCTTATTCGAAAAAATATTTTTTGTTAAATAAAAACGTTTAAATTAAAAAATGTCTATTATTTATCTAAAAAACATTAAAAATTGAGAATTACATTATTAATATTTTTAAATACAAAAAATGAAACAATTAATTAATTACGAAGCTAAAATACACAAAGTTTATGATAAACGATTTTTAAAGAAATAAAATTATTTAAAATGGAAAATTCTATAATTCTTTGTCTAAAAAATATTTCTTGTAGTTTTCATTAATCAACAAATTATAAAAAAAATATTTTTTAGACAAAAAATTATAGAATTTTTCATTTTAAAAAATTATTTCATTAAAAATCGTTTATCATAAACGTTGCGTACTTCAGCTTCGTAATTAATTTCTAATTTTTATTATTATTAGTATTATTATTTTATTAATATTATTATTAAAATAAAAATATTTCTTATATAAAATTGTGAATTTCGAAAATAAGCACAAAAATGGAAAATTAAAATAAATACAAATTATAATTTTACCTATATTTAAATAGTAAATAATAATTGAGGAATAAAGAATAATCATTTTAATTTCTTTTTTTAGTACGAAGATAATGAAGAAGTAATATTATGGATGAGCACAATTGGACCTTATCACAATAGACAAGAGACTTATTCTTATTCTTCGTTACCTTTTTGCAGAGGTTCAAAGCGTGTTATTAATCATTATCATGAGACACTGTCTGAAGCCTTGCAAGGCATTGACTTGGAATTTAGCGGTTTAGATATTGAATATAAAGGTATAAACCATTTGTTTATTAAAATAAGTTTTTAAATAAAATTTCTATGCAATAATTTTGAAAAAATTAAATAAAAATTTTTCTTATTTTTCCAGCTGATATCTCAAAAACGGAATACTGTAGAATTATTCTAACCGAAGAGAATTTAAAACTATTTATATATGTTGTGAAAAATCAGTATTCATATGAAATGTATATCGATAATTTGCCCATTCGAGGTAAGCGATCCTATTTTTTTTTTTAATTTACTTTTTACTTTTTAATATTTACTTTTAACTATTTACTTTTCTTAAATGTACTTATTTTAAATTTACATTTTTTACTAAAGAGAAAATAAGAATTTTTCATAAAAATGAGAATTTTATTAAAATTATAAGTTTTTAATAAAATTTCTCTTTTTTCCGTAAATTTTTTTCTTAATTCTCAAATTATTATTCTTTTGTCTATTTCAACAAACTGGAACAAAATTTTTCAAATAAATTTTCATTTTATTTATTTTTTATTTTTTTGAAATTTCTAAAATTCTCTAATTTCTTACAATTTAAGAAAATAAATTTATTTCTTAAAATTTTCTATTTCCTTTCATTTTTCCAAATTCAACGAAACTGAAGTACGCAACGTTTATGATAAAACGATTTTTAAAGAAATAATTTTTTATAATGAAAAATTCTATAAATTTTTGCCTAAAAAAAATATTTTTTTTATTATTTTTTTGATTAATGAAAATTACAAGAAATATTTTTTAGGCAAAGAATTAGAGAATTTTTCATTTTAAATAATTATTTCTTTAAAAATCGTTTTCCGTTCACTTTAGAAATGTTTAAACTATGAATTTTTGTATATGACAACAATAATTTCTAAATATTATATATATAGTTTTTTATTCAAGATAAATTATTTAATTTTATAAAGTTTTATTAAACAAAACTATTCAACAGTATCTAATGCATTTTTTCACAAATAGAAATTAGAAAACTTATAAAAAAATCAATTTTTGGGTTATTAATAACAATTAAAGTGAAATATTATAATTGTATTATCTTAAAGGGAACCAGGTATTAACGAAGAATTTCGTCCAATGAAAATACTAGAAACACTGATATTGTAATTTTAATTTTTAAATTTAGTTGAAAGGAAGAAAAAATATTTTTATATCAGAAAAAATTAATAAAAATGCATATAAAATAATAATAATAATATTATCAATTTTTTAATTGATAATTGTTTGCAACAATCTAATTTATTTATATTTTATTATTGTATTTAAAAAAAAGTTCCAAAATATGTAGTAAAAATTAAGTTTTAAACTTACGTGGAAAATATCTCAAAAATTAACATATTTTAATTATATTTTCTTTCTAAAAAGTTTATAATTGTTATTAAATTAAATATTAAAATACTTTCAATGTACACATTTTTTTTTTAATTTTATAGTGTAGAAATATGAAAATATGTACTTTTTTAAAAATTAAAACATTGAGAATTTTCAACTCATTTTAAACTTTACATAAAGTAAAAGAAAAAAATTATAATCATTTCGGAAAAAATTCTTATAATTTGTTTAAAAAAAAGAAACGTTGAAAATGAAGACATTTCTTAAATATCTAACGAAGAAGTACCTAACAACAATTATTATATTTTAATTAAGTTGATTAAGATAATATGATTTCAAAATTAGATATAAAATTTAACTTGAATTTTCTGAAATTTGATCTTAAAAAAACTGAAAATAGCCTGAAATTTAAATTACAGATTTTTGTAAAATTAAAATTAAAATAAATGAAAATTTTTGTTTATTTTATAGATTATCAAAACTACTGCAAACAATTGCCAATGATAAAAATCATATTATATCTAAAGTATTATTATTTTTTTATTAATTAATTAATTATTAATTTTTCACAGCAAAGTTCTGTTGAAACAAATTTAAAGAGCATTTTGTGGAATATTTCAAAAATATTGTTTACTATAAACTATTAGAAAGTTTATTGACATTTCAAAAATTAAAACATTTCTTTTGGATAATTTTAGAATTGTTTTTAGTTTTTTAATTTTTATATAAATAAAAACCTTGTAAGTCGCTTTTCAAACAAAAATCCAAATTTTCCAAACAAAATTGTTTAGTAAGATTTATCGACTTTCAAACTTATGAAAAAGTGACATACTAGATTTTCATTTTTGACAGTAGAATAAATAAATATTATTGAATTTTTTATTTATTTATTAATAATTTTCTCCTTAACAGGGGTAGTTGGTACTCAAGAAGAGAAGGATGGAGTAACTTCGTATTATATGTATACACACAAAAGGTTCGATATTGGCTACAATGGAAAGCAAATTGTGGACGTTAATTTAACAACCGATGGCCAAGTGAAATTGACTCCCGGTGCCCACTTTATGTTTACATACGAAGTGAATTGGAAAAAGAGTACGACCATTTTCGAAGATCGATTTGACAAGTATCTGGATCCTAATTTCTTCCAACACAGAGTCAGTTTATTTATTGTTTATTATAATTAATCATTTTTTTTTTTAACAGGAAATTAATTTTGGTTTTGAAAATTTGGGAAAAAAATTTAACTCACCTAAATAATGACACTTTTATTAATCCAATTTAACAAAATTGTGATTTTTTGAAATTTTTTATGAAAACTTATGTTTTAATATTTATTATTTTTTTCTTGTCTCTTTATTATGTTGCGTATAAAAATAGTTTTGTGTTATTTTTATGTTTATTAAAACCTTTATACTATATATTTTATATCTAAAGAGCCAATTGAAATCGAGCGGAAAAGCGCTTTGTTACATATTAATTAATCGCTCGTTTTCATTTCCTAAAATTTTCATTTTAACTCAACTATTTCTAATTGGGAAAGCAATAAATTGTTAATTTATTTTTCTAATCTACAGTTTTTTTTCTATATAATTTGATATTTAAATTAGATTTTTATATATTTAAAAAAAAAAAAAAATCATAATTTGTTTTTTATTTGAATTAACTTTTACCTTTAAATATTATTAATATTAAATATTATTTTTAATATAATTACATTCAATTAATAAATTTCAATTGAATTTGCAAATTTTTAGTAGAAAAAGTAATATTTAGGGAAATAAAAAATTAAATTTAATATAAAATTTAAAAATAGATTATTTAATTGGTGAATTAAATGAATTTTAATTAATTTTCAGATCCATTGGTTCAGTATATTTAACAGTTTTATGATGGTAATTTTCCTGGTGGGACTTGTTTCGATGATTTTAATGCGAACATTGAGAAAAGATTATGCAAGGTACAGTAAAGACGAGGATATGGATGATATGGAAAAAGATTTAGGCGACGAATACGGATGGAAACAAGTTCACGGTGATGTTTTTCGACCGGCAAGCCATCCAATGTTGTTTTCCGCTTTTATTGGCGCAGGTTATCAGGTAATTTTATTTTTTCGTAAATTTCTTTTTGGTTGCAAATTTTTTTCATTAATTATTCAATTTGAAATAAGGAAAATATTATTATTAGATATTGATTTTTTAAAATATTAATGCTTAAAATTATTATTTTTGTTTTTTTTTGGAAAAAAGGAAATTTCTTATAAAATTGAATTTTCATTAAAGGAAATTTTTATTTTTTATTACATTTTCATTGTAACTAATGACAAAACTTTCAATAACTTTAACAAGAATATCGATGTAACTTAATTTTTATTTAACACAACTTATATTTAACTGAAAATAAACATAGAAGTAACTATAAATAAATGTTTCTTGAAAAATTTTCAAAAAAAAAAATCATTTTTTAATCTTACGAAATCCGTGAAAACGGCAAAAAAAATATTATGCAAATTTTATGAAAAATTGGACGGTCAGTCAAAACAAAAATTATTACAACTTTACATTTTCTTTTTTTAATATAAAAAAAAGTAATTTTTAATTATAAAGATTTTAATTTAAAATTTCGAAATAAATATTTAAAGTATTTCTCTTGCTAGATACAAGCATTCAGAAAAAAAATTATATTCCCCTTTGAAGAATTAAAATATTTTTTTAAATTTATATACATTAGAAGAAAAAATGTCAATTTTAATAAATAAAAATAATTTTTTTATAAATAAATAAATTTTAATTTTTTTTAATCTAAAAATTTGTATCCTATTTACACACATTTTTAAAACAAACAAAGTTTTTTTCATATCACTATTACACAAATTTTTATAAATGATAATAAAATTTCAAAATCTATTAAAATTTATGTAGAAAATAAGACATCGTAAACAAAAATTCCCTCGCTTATAAAAATGTGTAATAGAGATATGAAAAAAAAAAATTTATTTGCCTACAAATGTGAGTAAACAAATTTTTAGATTAAAAATTTTTGTTTCTTATAAATGAATAATTTTTTCTTTCAAAGTATAGAAATTTAAAAAAATATTTTAATTCTTCAAAGGGTAATATAATTTTTTTTTCTAAATGCTTGTATCTAGCAAGAGAAATACCATTTATATTGAATAGAAATTCTAATAAAAATTCACCTTAATAAAAAAAAAAAGTTCACTAAATTGAATTTTTCTTTATTACAATTTGTCAAATTTATGAAATTCATCTGTATAAAAATTGAAAACTAATTTCTTAATACTCGAAATTCGGACAAGAGAATTTTTTGGATTATTTTAATATATTCATATGTCCCTTAATGTTTTTATTTATTGAAAAAATAAATAAATAATTTTTAAATTAAATTAAATTTTCTAATAAAATTTCAAGCCTCGGATTATACGACTTTTTTCGACTTATTTTAATAAAATGCAATTTTTTCAACTTTTTTTCATATTTAAAAAAAAAAAAAATTAAACAAAATACATTTTTTTAGTATACAATGCAGATCTTCTTCAAATCTTCTTTATTTCAATTATTTAACAAATTTATAAATAAAATTCTTTACTAAATTAATTATTTTTAATGATTTTTATAATATTCTTCAAAAATTCAACTATTTTTCACTTAAAAATTATTTTAAAAAAATTTCTTTTTAATTTTTCAATTATTATTATTATTATATTATTTTTCTCTTTCAATTTTCTTTTCAAATTATTGTATTTTTGTCTCCAATTTCTAATAAATTTTTCAGTAACAGAAATCATCAAAAAAAAAAAATTTTTAATTAAAAATCATTTGAAGTTCAATTAATTTCAAATGTTATATAAAATTATTTGATAAATTATTTTTATTTCTGTAAAATTTAATTATTGTCTGAAAATTAACAAAATCTTTTGAAATTTAATTATTTTTCCAAAATGATCATTATTTAAAAAAAAAATTTTTTTATTTAAAAATCTATAAAAATTTGAATAAGTATTGCCTGAAATTTTTTTTTGATCATCAAAACAAAAAACTATGACAAAATTTTTAATTCGAATAAATTGCTTAAATCAGACATTAAAAAATTATATAAATGGAAATTTAAGAATTCTTTTTAGAAATTTGTCCTTAAATAAAATTTTTAAAAATTTTTCTTACAAATTAGTTCTATTTGAAAAATTCAAAATAAATTTTCTTGATAATATTTTTATAGAATTATTCTCATTACAGAATTAATAAAATGAACTTAATATCTAATAACATTAGTAGTTTAAAGTAAAATATTTATTAAACAATTAAATTTTGTTAAAATAAAAAAAATCGACTTTTTTGTGTGCCTTAAAGTCGATTCGAAGCCTAAAATTCATTTAATAATAATGAAATATTGATTAATAATAATTAAATTTAATTTTCAGATAACAGTTGTCGTATTCAGTGTGATTGTTTTCGCTATTCTTGGTGAATTATACACGGAACGTGGATCAATGCTATCGACGGCAATATTTGTTTATGCAGCGACATCGCCAATAAATGGTTACACCGGTGGCGGTTTATATGCACGAATGGGTGGACGAATTTGGATTAAACAAATGTTGCTTAGCGCATTTTTGATACCCGCACTTGTATGTGGCACGGCATTCTTTATTAATTTCATTGCCATGTATTATCACGCGAGTCGTGCAATTCCCTTTGGCTCAATGGTGGCAGTCACCTGTATTTGCATTTTTGTCATTCTTCCATTGACATTGGTGGGCACAATATTGGGAAGAAATCTCGCCGGTACACCGGATGCGCCTTGTCGCGTTAATGCAGTGCCAAGGCCAATTCCAGAGAAAAAATGGTTTATGGAACCATTAGTGATTATTATGCTTGGTGGAATTCTACCGTTTGGCTCAATTTTTATTGAAATGTAAGTTTTTTTTTTCTTAGAAATATTACAATTAGAAACAAATACATTTTTTAACGACGTTTTTATATAAGGAAATGTAGACCTTCAGACAAAAAAAAAATTTTATTTGACAGGGGGTCTCAAAAATTATTAGTGGGTCATTCCATTATATTTCACCTAAAGTCGTTGCGGCCTAATTTTTAAAGAAGTTGATACTTTCAGAAATGATTTTTTATGATATTTAGGAAACGAAATAAAAAGAATTAAGTTTAAATTTTTATTATTTATCTCAAAATATGTATTTAAAGTGGACAAGGTGCGGAAAAATGTCACCTTTTTAGCATTTAGAAACTTTTTTTAAAAACATAGAAAAATTGTTAAAAGTGTAAAAAAAATTATTTTTTCTTGTTTAGAATCGATTAATTATCTATTTTTTAATGATTAAAGTAGTAAATAAATTAAAATAATATATAAAATAAGTTTTCAAAGTTGGTCTGTCAAATAACCTAATTTTGGGATTTTTATTAATTAATTACTAAAAAGTGGAGTTATTAAATAAAATAAAAACTTACCGAATGTAAAGTATTTGTGGTGAACTTTCAAATTTTCTTAGCACTTTGTACTTTTTAAATTTATAAATGTAAAAAATCTTGAGTCGAAAATTTGCACTTTGTTGACTTTTCCGATTTTTAATTGCTTGTAACTCTTTTGGTGCAAAATAAAAACTTTTGAAACCTTGTGGAATATTTAAGTTAAATCTAAATAAAAACTCACTTAAATTTTTGTGATGGATTTTGATCGAGATAAGGAGAAAATTTAATTCCAAAATTGTACGTATATTTCCAGGTTAATGTATGTAATTTTTTTAAACTTGAAGTTGGGCCACTACTTCAAAGACGAAAAATTACATACATTAACCTGGAAATATACGTACAATTTTGGAATTAAATTTTCTTCTAATCTCGATCAAAATCCATCACGAAAATTGCAGTGAGTTTTTATTTAGATTGAACTTAAATATTCCGCCAGGTTTCAAAAGTTTTTATTTTGCACCAATAGAGTTACAAGCGATTAAAAATCGGAAAAATCAACAAAGTGCCAATTTTCGACTCAAGATTTTTTACATTTATAAATGGAAAAAGTAAAAAGTGCTAAGAAAATTTGAAAGTTCACCGCAAATACTTTACATTCAGTGAGTTTTTATTTTATTTAATAATTCCACTTTTTAATAATTAATTAATAAAAATCCCAAAATTAGGTTATTTGACAGACCAACTTTGAAAACTTATTTTATATATTATTTTAATTTATTTACTACTTTAATCATTAAAAAATAGATAATTAATCGATTCTAAACAAGAAAAAATAATTTTTTTTACACTTTTAACAATTTTTCTATGTTTTTAAAAAAAGTTTCTAAATGCTAAAAAGGTGACATTTTTCCGCACCTTGTCCACTTTAAATACATATTTTGAGATAAATAATAAAAATTTAAACTTAATTCTTTTTATTTCGTTTCCTAAATATTATAAAGAATCATTTCTGAAAGTACCAAGTTTTTTAAAAATTAGGCCGCAACGACTTTAGGTGAAATATAATGGAATGACCCTAGTTAGAATTTTTATTTTTCAAATTTGCATTTAACAGAATTTATTTTTAAACGAATTTTTACTTTACAGAATTTTTAGGTACAAAATTTTTATTTGGCAAAATTTTTATTTCACGATTCTGAATTACGTAACGTTTATGGTCAACGATTAGAAATCAATTTTTAATTAACATGAAAAATTATAAAATTGTTTAACTAGAGAAAAATTTTTTTTTTTTATAATTTGTTGATTAATAAAAACTACAAGAAATATTTTTCAGGCAAAAAATTATTTCTTTAAAAATCGTTTATCATAAATGTCATACTTCAGCTTCGTGAATAATTTTTGTAAGTTTTAATTTTATTTTTTCTTAAAACTTAGTATCTATTCTTTCAACGGATATTATTAATAATATTTTAAAGGTATAAATTTAGTTTACGTAGATTATTTAGAAAATAGTAAGAAAAGTATGAGTAAAATTTGTAAACTGTTTTTTTTTTTTTAACGAATTAACGAAAACTAGAAAATTAGTTTTTCTTTCACTTTATAGAATGTAAATTTCAATTTCTAAAATCTTTAATTTTTTTAATAACATCTTTTCTTTTTTTAGGTACTTCATCTTTACGTCATTTTGGGCGTATAAAATCTATTACGTTTATGGTTTCATGCTTCTAGTATTCATTATTCTTATCATTGTCACAGTGTGTGTTACAATTGTCTGCACTTATTTTTTGCTGAATGCCGAAGACTACAGATGGTAAGAATTTATCGAAATTATTATAAAACAGTAATTTTTATTATTAACAATTGAATTAAAAAAATTAAAACTTTTATTAAAATATTTGAACAATTTTTACCAACATGACACCTTAAAACGGAAAATTATAAAAAAATTTCATCTAAAAATAAGTTTTTTTTTTATAATTTGTTGATCAATAAACATTGCAAGAAATATTTATAAAATTTTTCATTCAAAAAAATCATTAATTATAAATATGGTATTATGATTATTTTTACATATAATTAAAAATATGATCATCATGATAAACGATTTTAAAAGAAATTTTTTTTTTTTTTTTTTTTTTTGAATGAAAAATGTTATGAATTTCTGTCAAAAAAATATTTCATACAATATTCATGACGCTGAAGTTACCAACGTTGATTCGACGAATCAACGAACGAATTTTTCGTTTTCAGTTTAGTTTAAAAGCTAAGAACCAATTTTTTTAAATTGAAACTTCTTTATTCTGGTCCCAAATACATCTTTAAACACTAAAAATCCTCAACCAAGGCGGGGAAATATTCAATCTTAGAAAAAAAAAATTCTTTTCGTCGATTCAACGTTGGTAACTTCAGTGTCATCAATATTCTTGAAAGAATAATAATAGAAATATTGCTTTTGTTCAATTTTTAATTTATTTTATTATAATATTATGTTGAAAATAAAATTGTATTCTAATTTGTTGAAAATATAAATGAGAGAATGTCCCAATTTCAATTAATTGAAAAAAAAATAATCTTAATTAAATTGTAAATATTCAAAATGTAGAAATGAAAAGTTTATGATTACCCGTATAACTTTTTAACAATTGTAATAAATTAAGAATGCAATATACTTTTCACGCGAGCTTAATAATCTTAATATCTTAATAATATTAAAAGCAAATAATTAAAAATTGTCATTAACATTTTTTTTTTTAGGCAATGGACAAGTTTCTTAGCAGCAGCTTCCACATCGGGATACGTTTATCTCTATTCATTTTACTATTTCTTCTTTAAAACGAAGTAAGTTCGATTTAATAAATTATTTTTATTGTTTATTATTTTAATTATTTCAGAGTATAATACAAAAAGTTTTTTTTTACTGGAATTTTTTTTTTATTTTTTGCAAAATATTTTTTTTATCAACTACTTATTTTTTCTAAAGTAATTAAAATTTGTAATCAAAGTAATGGAGATAAAAAAAAATTGCTTTTTTTTTAACAGAATGTACGGACTCTTCCAAACAGCATTCTATTTTGGATATATGGCACTATTCAGTATGGCTTTGGGCATTATGTGCGGAACCGTTGGTTATATTGGTACCAATACATTTGTTCGCACGATATATTCGACTGTTAAGATAGATTAAGCGTTCGAATTTTTATCAAAGTGTGTAATAATTATTGCACACTTTTTAAAATGATACTTATTCGCGTCATTGTGACGTTCATCTTTCTTATCTCTCACGGGGATTGTAAAAAAATCCTCGATGAAAGAAACGAAGATTTTTTTTGATTCGTGTTATATAGTTATTTTTTGTATATTATTAACGACATATTAAATTTCGAGAAAAAAAAGGGACAATTAGTTTCTCTCACTTACTCTCTCTCTTAAATAAAAAAATAAAAAAAAAAAAAAAAAAAACAGCATTAATAACTAGTCATTAAAACAGAATTTCAAAAAGAAATTTAAAAAGTCGTTAAAATTTTACTAAAATAACCAATATAAACGAAAATCATCCAAGCTGTACAGTGTTTAATACTTTAGTGATTCATAAGATTTCGATAAATAATCATTAGGAATTCCTTCCAAAAAAAAGAGATGAAAAAAAAAAATGGAAAAAAGAAGGAAAGAAAGAATGTGTAATCGTGAAAATTTTGAAATTGCTTGACGCAGTTAACAAAAAATGTGAAAGAAGGGAGCTTTTTAAATACAAAAAAAAAAAAAAATGTGGTCGCGCAAAATATCAACTATTATATATACAAGATAAAAACAAATTATATGTATAGAATGGTCTTGTGTGTGTTTACGTAAACCTCTTGGTTTATTTAAATTGTCAAAACGCTGCCTTGTTTGTGAATTCTGTTCTGTCATGACATGTAAAAGCAAATGAAATGACGTGGATCTTGCAAATTCGATTTAATAATAATAATATCGAATGTCAGAATTGAAAAGGTTACTATATTTATGAGTATTGTGAAGCTGAATGGAAAGAATGGTATAATAAATAATTTATTACAAAATCCATCTGTCTAATGGTAATATTATCATTGTTACTATTTTTTTTTTCAATAAATATAATTTTAGTTCCTTTTGTTTAAAAATAAAAAAAGCGTGGACTTTTAAAGAAAACATTTTTAATTTTACAAACACTTTTTTTGGATAAAATATTTTATACTTTAATATTTTTATTTTTAAATTAATATTATATTTTTAATGTAAATTTATTTGCATTTTTTTTTCTTTATCGAAAACGACTCATAAGTTTTCTTTTTTTTTTTTTTTACATTTTTTCTACTTATTCTTATTAAAGTTGTAATTTTTAATATTCTTTTAAAAGTTTCAACATAAATTAACAGAATTCATATATATTTACTAAAAATACTAAAGACACAAAGAAAATGGAATTTGAATTTTTAAAAGGAAAAAAATGTTATTTTGACAAATATGAAAATTTAATAATAATAAAAAACACATAAATAATTTAAATAATATGAATGTCTTTATTGATTTTTGTTTGCAATAGTCCAATTTATTTATATTAATTAATTATTGTACTGAAAAAAAAGTCCAACGTACGTATTAAAAATTAATTAAATTTACGTGAAAAATATATAAAAAAAAATTAACACATTTTAATGTTTTCTAACATTTTCTAATTTTTTTCTAAAAAATATTAAAGGGTGTAAAATTTTTTTTTCCGATTAATATCTAAAATTATTATATATTTTTACAATTAAAAAATATATATTTTTGTCCATTTTGGAAATTTTATTTTTTCCAAAAAATTAAATTTTTTCAAAATTCATACGATTAATTGTTGAATATCATGAAGCGTATAAAAAATTTAGTGATGAAAAATAATCAAAATTGTGTAAGAAGTTTGAATTTTTAAAGAATCACCAGTCAAATTTAAACCAATCAAAATTAACCTTGTTTAGGGGTAGACAATTTTTTTTTTTTTGAATTTTTTCGGAACTTGAAATCACATTTCTCTATGAAAAATAAAAAAAGTAATTTTTAACTATTTTTTTTTATTTTTCAAAATTTTCATTTTTTGAAAAAATTTAAATTTGTCAATTGATTGTTTAAAATCATGAAAAAAGCCTAAAAAAAAATTGACAACGAAAAAAAAGAGAAATTGTGAGAGAAGTGCAAATTTTTAATTTTTATTATAATAAATATTAACAAATTAATTGGTTTTTTAATTTTTCATATTATATTATAATTTTAAATATACTCAATGTCGTTAGAAAAAAAAATTGACAACCCTGAATATTCAAGTTAAATTTTTTTTTTAAGTTGTTAATTAAGTTTAAAAAAAGAATTCAATAACAATAACAATTTTAATATTTTTCAAACTATAATTTCCCTTATCTTTTCAAAATTATGTATAACAATATTAATAAATAATAACAAATAGTATTTTTAATTAACAATTTAAAAAAAAAATTATCATTGAAATATTTCAAATATCCCGCGATCAAAGCTTATACGTGAATCAAATAAGAAACTACGAAATAGAAAATAAATGAATTTTTTTTTTTAAAAAATATCTCTGAAAATACATTGTCAATTGTCAAAAATATAGAAAATATCTACTTTATTTGAAAAAAAGACAATAAATAAAAATAAATGAGAACATAATTTTTTTAAATGAGAATTTTGATTAACGTGGTGTTTAATCAAATGGTACACGTGTATTGTGTTCTACGAATCAGATGTTGTGCCGGTTTTTTGGATTGTTTACGGTAATTTTCATGGAATTTCGAATATTCCAACACATAAATTTCGGTGCCACGGTGGCTGTATTACAACAACTGCGACGGCGCATTGGAATTCTTCGGTTGACGTTGCAAAACGTTGGACTGAACTATAGTAGTGGGTAGGGATAAAAAAGAAAAAGGTGGTTTACTTCCACGCTGACGAGACGCGAGATTTTTGTCGTCCGCTAACTTCTGACATATCAAGCATATACATACTGTCAGTTTAATTGTCATTGTTTCATTTTACACACATTCCAAGTGCCAATTTTTATTCAATTTTAAATAATAACAAAAAAGAAAACAATGGCTCCAAAACAGAGAATGCGTATTGCAAACGAAAAGGCTACCAAGAATATCACCCAACGAGGAAACGTTCCTAAATCGACAGTGAGTTTTTATTATTTCATTTCATTTATTTTATTATAACTTCAAATTTAACATTGTTCAAAATTAAAGAAAAAAAAGGGACTTATAATTTTTCTCATACATTCAAATATGTATTTTTATTTCTAGTTGAAATAAATTTTGAATTGTGTATTTCAATATTTGGAGGTTATAAATTTCTACCATCTGGAACGTTTGTTTTTCACTTTTCGAATTAAATTTTAATAAAAGATTTTTCACATTTTACAAGTTTTCACAAATTCTTTCAAAGTTTTCATAAAATTGTTTTAATGAAAATAATTTTTTTTTTTCAGAAATTGCTAAATGAATCATCTCCTGTAGGTCCTTGGCTTTTGTGTCTTTTCGTTTTTGTCGTATGTGGTTCTGGTATGTAATGGTTTTACTTTATATTATTTTTTTAAATTATTTATCATATATTTTTTTTCCTATTTATTTTATTCATTATTATTGTTCAATGATTTGAATAATTTAAAAATATATTTAATAATTTTTTGTTTTTTTTTTTATTTTTGAAACATTTTTTATTGACCATTTTTTACAATAACGGAAATTTCGAAAGAACTGATAAGCAGAAATTGTAAAAATAAAAAATTTCATTGTTGTTGTTAAAAAAAAAACAAATAAACATTTAAGTTATTATTTATCTCGTAGTAAAGTAATATCAAATTCACAGTTTTTGTTTATTATTAAATAAAATTAATATTATTATTATTTAATGTGCAAATAATAATATATCTTCACAAGATAAAAATATTAAAAGAAAACAAAATGTTTAAAAAAATTTTTTTTTCTTTTTTATTCATTTTTTAATATTTTTTAAAACATCACTCGATTTTTGTGGTTCAATTTATTTTTGAAAATAGAAAAATTTTTCATTTAAATTGATTTTAGTTAAAATTTTTTGTATCGTAATTTTATAATAATAAAATGTATAATTATTTTTTGCAGCTGTCTTTCAAATAATCCAAAGTATACGAATGGGATAAATATTCAAAGAGGAGAAATTCATTTTTATATAATAATTTAAGGAAAATCCACCAACTCACTATGAACATCATTATTATCAGTTTTGTTTTCAACAATTAAACGATGAATCAACTTCGGATATTTTGAACTCAAAATGACGCTCAAAGAGCTCGAATTGTTATTGAGCCATTATAATCCTCTAATCAATTTCATAATGAGCTCTAAAATAGAAATTTGATAAAAAAAAAAAAAAATTAGAGGATTTTTGCAATAATTCTTCCTCGTTCGGCTCAAAGATTTATTATTTATATATATATATATTAAAAAAAAGAAAAGAAAGAAAGAACATTAGCATTTATAAGCGTTTAATATAAACACAATGAAAAGACTATTTTAGTCTCAATCACAATTTGCCCGTCGATGAACGAAACTCCTCAAGTTTTCAATACAATATAAATAATATGTCCAAAGCACTAAAAACTTGAAATAATTATTATTTATAAATCGTAAAAAAAATACAGATTTTCCTTTATTCTCAATATGTCCAATTGACAATTTTTCTTTTTGAAAACATTCCAGATTCTTCCATCGACGTTTCATCTATATGAGACAATTTGTATATATATATAATTATTGATATAACATTGTATTTTCATTCATCTATGGCATTCCATTATAAATTGATGATCAATAAATTGATTGTTTTTTGATCAATTATAAAAATAAGGAACGCTTACTCTGACGCTCTAAATACATATATAAATATAAAATATTCTGTAATAATTGAAAATATATTTACATACAACATTTATCATTGAAATAAATAAATTATACTGATATTGACAATTTTTTTTATTTGTGGTGTCGAATTAAAAATTATTTAATTTTATAAAGTGGATTTATAATGAGCCGAATTTTTATATATATTGAAGAATTTATATTTAACTAAATTCTGATTTAATGTCGAATTTTTTTCAACAACTTTTTAAAAAAAAACTATTTTCTTTTAGAAAAATTTTAATCCTAGTCAGGTCGTGGGAAAATAATTTTTTCAATATTATCGAAATTTTTTAAAAATTTTTTGAAATTTTGAATATTTTAAAAATATTTCCAGTTTTGTTTTATACAACGTACTTTTATGTATTTTCTATTTTGATTCGTTGATTATAAAAACCATAGTAACAATACCCAAAAACTTTATTTGAAAACCATAAAAAAAAAATTCCTAAAACCCAATAAACGAAAATAATAAAAAATTTTAGGACGTATTTGAATTTTAGTAAAAAAAATTTCCGTTCTTCAAAAAAAAAAAAAAATTCTTGACAACGCGTATTTTTTTATGCGGTCAAAGTGGTGTAACCCCTTAAAGAAAAACAATTATTTTTTTATTATTTAAAAGTCTGTCCAATTTTACAACTTTGTGAAACAAATTGACGACATTATTGTCAGCAAAAAATTTGAATAATAAAAAATTTTTATTCTTATTTTCTGATGCCTAAATTAACAATTTTTATTATTTCCTATACTTATCCTTATTTTTAGGAACACAATTTTAAATAGATGAAATTTTTGCTCTGCAATTTCTTAAAAAATTAATGTTTCACAAAATCCATTTAATAATTAAATAATGCCTGAAAAATAAAATAAAAAAATACTTAATTAATTTAATTATTTATCTCAAAATTGTGAATCGAAGTTTATAAATTTTTAATAATATCGGTAATATTATTTTAATGAATTCATTAATTAATAAATATTGTTTTTTTCTACTTTGTCTTAGTTGAGTGTAAAATATTTTTTTAACTCCTTCGCAGTCTATAGTAGAAAAATCGTTTGTGGGCCCAAAACGGTAAAAAAAAAAAAGTTTCCAAAAAAATTTTATATCATCATATTAAAGGTTTTTGGGGTCGCTGAATCCAAATTTGATGTGAGATTTTAAAAATTCAAAATGGCGGACTCAATATGGCGGAAAAATTTAAAATTGATTCGATTCGTTCTAAATTCGGTACTCGGGGATTTTTGGGGTCGCTGAATCCAAATTTGATGTCAGATTTAAAAAATTTTTAAATGGCGGACCCAATATGGCCACTTAATAGAACGGAAAAAATTTAAAATTGATTTAATTCGTTCAAAATTCGGTACTAGGGGTTTTTTTGGGTCGCTCCCTTACGAAAAAGTACTACAGAGTGACTACAGCAAAATACTACAGGATTTACTACAAATGTACTACAGGTATACTATAAGTGTACTACAGGTATACCTGTAGTAAATTTAAAGTATATGTGTAGTATCCAGCTGTAGTATTTTCGTTGTAGACTTAGTGAGGAATAGTATCATGTGATAAATCTAAGAGAAAGTAGTTTTTGAGAAAATTTGATAGATGGCAGCACAAGGGTTTAAAAACAAACAGTCTTATTTTTCCCTTCACCATCAAGATGTACAGTTATGGTTCAGACTGACTGACTGTACATATTATACAATATGACGCGGGCGCTCGGACCCACTTTCGAATGGTAGTCAGGTAGCAGTGAGCAACAACGGCCCACCCACTGCTACTCGACTACCATCAAAACGTGCGTCCAGGCGCTTGACGGGTTATTGCATTGACACGTTCATTTTCATATATATCTCGAATACTAAAAGAGCTAAAGATATACATTTTTTTATAATTGTATAGGATATTTTTTCTTGCTCTCTCCTCTCTCTCTCTTTTTTATTCTCTGTCTCCCATACGTTATATTATATGATAGATAGGTAGCCGGGGAGGTACGAATTCAACACAAATAAACTCTACACAAGAAAATACTGCACCGTTAACTGTACACGAGTCAATTCTCCCCTAGTGAAAAAAATACGTATAATATAATATAATATACTAATAAACAAAAATATATTCCATATTTATATATTCCTAAATATTAAAAATTATAGACACGTATATTTATACGTATAATTCTTTTGTTTCAAATTCGTATGTCTTATTATACGTATAATAATACGTATAAAAGTACGTATTATTATACGTATATTTATACGTAATATTATTCGCATAATTATACGTGTTTTTTCAATAGGATCTACAAAATTAAATAAAAATTCTTCACAATTAAATATTACATCGAAAAACCCTACATAATAAACTATTTACTAGAAAATTATCTTCATAAACTCTACACAAATAAACTCAACACATTAAGATTTAGAATTAGAAAACTGTAAAATTTTTTTTTTATAATTCGACACAATTAAATTTTACACATGAAAATAATATTTTCTTTATTCCCGATTATTAATAAAATTCTACACAATTAAACTCAACATTTATAAATTCTACACAGCAAATAAAAACATTTTAATCCTACACAATAAAACTGTACACAACACATTAAATGAAAATAATTAAATTCAAAACGAGAAAACTCTACACAAGAAAATACTCCACCGCTAACTGTACACGAGTAAATTGTCAATAAGATAAAGTAAAAATATATTCTACACAATTGAATACTACATCAAAAAACCCTACACAATAAACTATTAACTAAAAAATAATCTCCATAAACTCTACACAAATAAACTCAACACATTAAGATTTAGAATTAGAAAAATAAAAATATTTTTTTTTATAATTCCACACAAATAAATATTACATTAGTAAATTCTACACAGCTATAAAAAATAATAAATTAAATTCGACACAAAAGGAAATATTATTTTCATGTGTTGTCAAATGGCTGTCACAATCAGTAAAATACTGTCGATATGTTATGTAAAAAAAAGTTCTTGTTATTTTCGTAATTGGTGAATCTTAGCTGGTGTATTTTTTTTAGTGTTTATTAATTCTCAAAATGAAAATTGCATTCTTGTTTGTTATTTCCGAAAAAATATTTTAAAAGTTTTCGCAAAAAAATATGCCCAAGTAGCATGTAATATTACTGTAATATTAAAATGTCCGCCTCATGGCAATATTACCGGTTAATATTATTGTATAATAATAAAGTAATATTACAGTGGTATTCCTGAAATATTGCAGTAATATTACAAAAAAATTTCAAAAAACACTTATATTTGACTGATTAATTCTTATCTTTTTGTGTTTTATCATATCACTTTGAAATTTTTATATACATATTTCAAATAAGCGTGTAATATTACTGTAATTTTACTGTAATATTGCCCGCTAATATTACCATAAGGCGAACATTTTAAAATTACTGTAATATTGCTACTTGGGTGCTCATATATTTAATTTATCGTCATTAATTCGTTTTCATTATTTTAACTCAAAAGTTTTAGCTGGGGTATTTCTTGACAATAATCAATTATCCTGAAGGGCAAAGCATTTTATTTTCTTCTTTTCATGAAAATACTGTAAAAAATTTTCGGAAAATTCAGTTTCGATAAATTGATGGTGCTACCTTACTAGGACCTACCCTTAATATTTTTCTGCCCATCCTGTTGTAAAAGGGTGTACTTTTAAATGAAAAAGTCGTTTTCAAAAAATTTTTTTCTAAAACATATTTCCTATTATATGAAAAGAATTGTAACATGTGTTGCTTTTCCTATAAGTAAAATCAAGCAAACATATTTAAAATTTGAGGGAACTGTGAGTCAGGTATTCAACTGGCGTTCCGAAGGGTCTTTTATGGTTTTATTAGCGCCTCCAAACTATTCTTTGTCCATTTAATTTAATTTTCAATTTATGTTTCATAATTTATTACAATTATTTTATTAAATATTAAAAAATATTGTTAACAAAATGCAAAAAGGCATGTAATTATAGAGAAAGTTTTAAACAGAAAAATAATAATCTATTTGTAAAATTTGTCTGAAGATAATAATAATTGTTAAATAATTTTTTTTACAAAGTAAAAACACTTTTTTATTCAAGATAATATTATTTTCATAATATTTTAATTCATTACAATTATTTTATTGTAATTTGATAAATTTCATTATTTTAAAAAAGTGCGCGCTATTTTATCTTGGGCCAATCAGGTGATTTCAACTAAATGTTGCAAAGTTCATTTTTTCTTACATTCGATTTTTTCGACCATCGAGATATTTCGATACATTTTCATGTGCTTTGCACGCACATTATATAATTATAATTTGCAAGGTACAGATTAAAACAATTACAACGGTATATGATTTTTTGCTAATACTAAAAAAATTTAAGTATTTACATATTATGTAAATCATGAAATCTAATTTATGAGAGATTAAGGGACCCGGCCTCCCGCGGTGCTAGTTCGCTCCGACACTCGAAGTCAGGCCCCTGTCCGCATAGTAGGGGAAGGTTACTTCCCCTCACGGGAGCGAATGGATGATCCCTTTACGTGCAGGAAACCATAAAAGGAGGCGTATATTATTTTCAGTTTCAGCAAAAGAGCTATCTCTTGCAAAATAAAAAGATATTTAAATCCAAAAAAATCATTTTTTAAATATTAAATTTGCCATTTGCAGATTTTGATGATTCCATAACGATATAAATTTACACGTCTTAACATTAAAATTTTCTTTTGGAGATGTTATATAATTTCATGATTTACATAATATGTAAATACACAAATTTTATAGTATCAGCAAAAAATCATATACCGTTGTAATTGTTTTAACCTGTACCTTGCAAATATAATTATTTAAATCATTATTTTTTCAAATTCACACAATTTTTAATTTTGCAATGAAAAGCTATAAAACTATAAAAGACCCTTCCGAACGCCAGTTGGATACCTGACTCACAGATCCCTCAAATTTTAAATAATTATGTTTGCTTGATTTTAGTTACAGAGTAAAAATTCCTGAAGTGGCCCTTCCTATTTTTATAAAGTTGCAA